ATTTTCTTTCCCTATTTCAGATAATTATAACTTAATATATTGACGTAAACTGAGTTCCCAAGCACGGTTAAAAACACCTAGTCTATCTTGTGTCCTTCATGTTGTACTTTAATGAATAGCTGTAAGCCTTATTAGGGAAACTGACTGGAAATGACTTATCTATCCATTGTTTCAAGGTGACTTTTTCTCATATTGAGAATAATACTTGTTCTGCAGTGCAATTTAATATAGTATAGATATAGTATATCATCAAACACATACTAAACACGTACAAGACACGTACAAAACCAGTATTTCTTTATTTTGTATTATTTATTTTGTGATTAGTCCAGGCTACATCATCTTGTAGATTTTTGTGGCTACCAGGAATAATCGCTGTCAGTCTCTAAAAATGTAATCTTACTACTGGCCTTCCCTGTGCTCTTTCCCCTTCTTTCTTCTCTGATCTACCAAGAAAATAATTTAGTTTCTTTTTCCAGACACACAGATGTGCACCAGATGGTTACTGATAGTTTCAAGGTCCTGATGAGTTATTGGAATAATTAGTGTTGGTGTGAGGTTTGTCATCTAACTATAATACTGAACTGTGTACTCATCTTTTTCAAACTTTTAAAATAAAAGGTTTATTTTATTAAGGCTTTTGAAACAGCACTTCAAATGTCAGTGCAGATAATAATTGATACCCAGTTCATGGTCAGAAGTTCACTCAACTCTTTCATATGTAAAATTCGTGATCTTATAAAGGGGATCAAAGGCAATCTACTTTTAGGTGATATACTAATTTTATGCCGGAAAGAACGGTAAGATACCAATCAGGGAATGATTTTAATGGTGAATTGGGAAATATTTCTTTTTAAACTATGAACATAAGGTGTTGAAAATGGTAGAGAAATTGATACATAAATATGATTTATGGATTGTGGAATTGAAAATATAGTCCACATTAGTTGAAAAAGGCCTTATCCCAAAGGTATATTAAGTCTCACTCTTTTGTGCAAGTCTTTGTTGCCACAGCAGGTTTAATATGTCTGGATTTATAAAGTATAAATATGAAAACAACTCTTAAGAAAATTTTACTTCTGTGTACGTTACTTGCAAATTTAGTTTGTGCTGTAATGGATATGCCTCCTAGATCTGGTACATACTGTTTTGATAGCTAAATCTGATTAAAATAAGAAATAATTACTTCTCTTTGCCCTTGACATAGGAACAAATCCATTCCTTTTATTTTTCAGTGTTCATCACTATTTTAATAGGTGTATCACTTGTAACACAGCTGTCTTTGGATGTAGCTGCAACAGCTACGTCATCACACAGCCCTTGCCTGCATGATTTAGGTCCTTTCCCTGGTATTTTGATCTTGGAAACAGTTGTGAAACAAGATTATTGTCATCCACCAAAAATACTGAATTTTTGCAAGCAAAGCAGAATAAGTAACTCCTGTACAGAAAAATAATGTTCTAGCCTTTTAACGATAAGGAATTCAGTGGGATTGCTGGACACTAATAGCATGCGTAAGTATTTGCAGGATTGGAGCTTTATAAAATCCCAAGCAGAATTTGAGCTTCCTTTCCTTAAGATTCACTGATTAATCGCTTCAGGCCTACCCTACACTACTGTTTCCTTTCTGGCTCTGATCAGTTAATCCACGTGTCTTCTAAAGCACATTTGATGAACAAATGGGAGAGCTGTGGAGGTATTGAAGCTCCCTACAGTATATCATCCTTTATGTAGACTCAGTTTGCTCTCCAACCAACTCTTTATTTACTTGTCCTGGTTTCGGCTGGGATAGAGGTAATTTTCTTCCTAGTAGCTGGTATAGTGCTGTGTTTTGGATTTAGTATGAGAATAATGTTGATAACACACTGATGTTTTGGTTGTTGCTGAGTAGTGTTTATGCTACTCAAGGACTTTTCAGCTTCCCGTGCTCTGCCAGGTGCACAAGAAGTTGGGAGGGAGCATAGCCAGGACAACTAACCCAGCTGGCCAACGGGGTATTCCATACCGTATGACGTCATGCTTAGTATAGAAACTGGGGGAGTTGGCTGGGGAGCAGCGATTGCTGCTCAGGGACTGGCTGGGCATCGGTTGGTGGGTGGTGAGCAATTGCATCGTACACCACTTGCTTTGTGTATTCTATTATTGTTTTCTTAAACTGTCTTTACCTCAACCCATGAGTTTTCTCACTTTTACCATTATGATTCTCTCCCCCATCGCACCAGAGGCGGGGGCAGTGAGCGAGTGGCTGTGTGGTATTTCGTTGCTGGCTAGGGTTAAACCATGACATTACTTAATATCATTACTTAATATATTACGTCC